GTCTTTGGGGTAAATACTCAGGAGTGCAATTGCTGGGTCATAGGGTAGCTCTATTTTTAAATTTTTGAGGAACCTCCACACTGTTTTCCAAAGTGGCTGTACCAACTTGCATTCCCACCAGCAGTGTAAGAGGGTTCCCCTTTCTCCACATAACATAATAAAATTGAAAAAAAAAATATTTTTTAAAAAAACGAAAAAAAAAATAAAACAAAAGAGAAGCAGAGAATAGATTTTAGGAAAAAACTTTCACCTCCTGAGGTGCGTGACTCAGGATATTTTTCTGACCTAAGAGGAAAAAAAAAAAAGCCAAACCATCTACCACTTATGTATATATTTACATATTTACAAGTTTATATCTCTGATAGAAAATTTATAGTAAAAAATTGAGACGCAAATGTTATTTACAGTGTCTAGTCATAGATCACAGCAGGGATAGGGTAGATACTGGTGCTGGTTTTTAGTTGATATTTCTGCCAAAACCATTTCTTCTGGTGGAGGGCCACTTCAGATTAGAATTCCAAAATGTCCTCGAAGATGACATAAACTTGAATGGCAAATCAGATGGCTTTTTTTCCATTATTTAAATAAGTTAGTCGCTATACATTTGATTTCACCTTGTAGTACCGGTCAACTGGGACTATTAAAAAAAAAAGAGAGCTCATGTTAGTAACTTGTAAAATGCAGACCAAATTACCCTCCTAGTCTAATGTGAGTAGCCCTTTTACAATAAAGCCATCAAAGCCAAGGGCTCCGGGGAGCAGAGATGGAGGGAGACTGGTCTTGGGCCCTCCTGGGATGGTAGCTGGGGGCCCACAGGAAGTACCACCTTCAGTGTGAGGCACTTGTTAACAGCCCTGTTTCCTCAAACCAACTCAGCCTTTGAGTGGCATCGAACTCTCCAAAGAACAAAGCTGAGACCTTTAAGGACCCTTACGTAAGTTGTTGCTCTTTGTGGCAGTTATCTGCTCCTTGCCACATGAGTCTCCTGAGAATAGTTTCTGCCCCTCCCTTAGCCTCTCTCCCTGGTGAGTCATCTCCACAGTGGTGACAGGACCGGCCTGGGGTTAGCTCAGAGGAAATGAGCCCAGGCACAAAGCTGCAGAATTGCCGGGACACGCCCCTTCAAACTGAGGTCCCCGTTCTTGCCTCGTGCCTTCCTAACAGTCTGTACTTCATAGGTCAGACCAGATCTGACAGGCGCAGCCCAGACCACACCAGGGTTCCCCAAATATCTGTACCCCGTTAGTGGCCAGAGATCATAAAGAGTGAGCGCTGGAGTCACAGGGGTTAGGTAAAAGGGAGCAAATTATGAGCTTTCCTTATTAAGAATCTAATAGGCGCCTGGGTGGCTCAGCCAGTTGCGTGTCTGCCTTCAGCTCAGGTCTTGGTCCCGGGGTCCCGGGATCGAGTCCCGCATCGGGCTCCCTGCAGAGGGGAGTCTGCTTCTCCCTCTCCCTCTGCCTCTCCCCTCTGCTTGTGTTCTCTCTCAAATAAATAAATAAAACCTTAAAATAAATAATCTACTAGAACGTGAAAATGGGTGCAGTAAATTTTTGAGGGGGATGAAGTGGGCGCTGCTTCTCAAACGTGTCCCAGTGGGCACAGGACTCCTTAGAGCAGCTCTGCAGGTGCAGGGCTCGGTGCCCTGCTGCTCTCCCGCCCCCCTTGCCCCCCTGGGGGCTCTCCTCACCCACGCCCACACCTGTTGCACCTCCTGCCAATGAATGGGGCCTGCCTCTCCAGCTCCCCTTCAGGCTGAGACATGGCCTACGGACTGCAGATCTTTCTTCCCACAGGAACAGGGTTCTCTGCTCCCTTTTTAACTCGGGTGAATTTGTGACCTGTTTTCTAGGCATTTACACAAAAACGGAGACTACCAGCACTCCCGGAAATTGTTGACATTGACCTATCTGGGTGAAAAGTGTGATATCATGTCCGTTTTTCTCTCAGCTGTCTGAAATCTACTGGCTGTCCTTAGATATTTTCTGATTGGGTCTAGCTCTTTCAGACACGGTCGTCACAGAAATGTGACAATTTGGCCTTTGTTCCTGGTTATGCATGTCCCCTCCCCCACTACTCTTCCAACTCTTACCCTCTCCACCATATATATAACTCTTTTAATAACTGAGTTTAAGGAAGTCCCACTGCAGCCACAGGGGGCTCTGTAAATTTAAAAATTATTATTAAATAGGTAGTAAATACACAAAGTACAAAATCTGAAGAGTAAACAAAAGTACACCAAGAAATGTGAGCTCCCATACCCAGCCCCAAGCTACCCAGGTTTCTCCTCAGGATGTCACCCTCAGATGTCACCTTTTCCTTCCTAGACTCATTATCCCAAAGCAGTGCTTTTCATGCTTTTTGGAACTGTCCTGTTCAAGAGCCTACAATGGCTCCCTATTCCCATACCGCTCCATCTTCATGCCCCTGACTTCACTCTTTTGCCACTTGCTCACCTTGATGCTAAGTAGGCCAATCTCTCCGTCAAATAAACCACAAGGGTTTAGCTCCCCTCCATGTCTTTGCCTCTGCTGCTTCTCCCGGCTGGAAGGCCTTTTCCACTCCACCCCTGCTCTGAAGATCCAGCTCCCATCCTCCCCCACCCCCCCTTCAGAGTCTTCCTGATGACTCTGGCCTCTTCGCCTCCCCTCGGCTGGCTGCCCAGCCCTGACCAACCCCACCACACATTCTGGCCCATTACCCCGTGCCTCCGCCCTTCTAACTGTTTACATTCTCGTCCTCTCTCTCCAGTGTGCTCACAAGCTGCTCCAGGGTGGGAGCCCTAACGTAGCCCTTCTCTGAATCCCACGCAGTGTCGGGCCTCCCTGGGAACCGGATCTCAAGCCATCGGCTAACACAGTGCCTGACCTCACTGCAGGAACCTCTGTGAAAGCGAGCCTCCGGCGAGGGCATGAGCTCTGGAAGGCTCCATCACCCCTGGCTCACGGCCTGCCCTGCATGACGTCAGCAGTCATGCTTCCAACGGCGCCCCCCCGCCCCGCTCTCACCAGCTGGGTCTCAGCAGAGGCGCACCGGGAATCCCGCCCTGCCCGGGCACTCGTGCTTACTGCCGCCAATCTGTAACAGCCACCGCGCCTCTTTCTCTACCCCCTTCCCTGCTGGCACACCGGTTCCTCACCTCACCTACTGGTGCTCACCCCCTCTCCAGCCCCCTCCGCATGGCCTCCTGCCATCGCCGGCCTCCCTGGGAACCTGGGTGTGTCCCGGCCAGCAGCTGGGGAGAAAGGGACCCTCTGAGTCCCCGGGCCCCGGGGCACGCAGGTGCTCCCTGTTGCGCAGAGGCCCGTCCTCATTCCCACTCCAACCGCTGACCCTGTGGCTTTCTTGAAAATCAGCAACTCACTCAACAAAGCCAAAGGTCTTGACCACCCGCCCTCCTCCTTAGCCTCTCCTCCCTGAGGGTCTCTAGCAGGGGGCCACCCTGGCTCTCCTCCCGGACTCATCCCACCCCGGCTCCTCCACTCTGCCTGTCACCCGAGGGCCTTGGGCGTGGCTTTCTTGGTGACCTCAGATGCTCAGAGCATCAGTTACTGTACTGATGAAGATGCTGTAGCTCCAGCCACAGCCCCTAAAGCCACTTCTGCAGTTACGTGCCGGACCTAGGACCCAAGTAATGCGGCCACCCCACACTCAGCCCGTCACAGCAGAGACCCAGCTTCCCAAGCCAGAGCCGCGCCCGACTCCTCCGTACGCCTGGCGGGGCCACCCATCTTCCAGGCACCAAGCGTCGGATTTCCTGCCACTTCTGGCTTCTTTCCTGGATAATAATAATATTCATAACCATAATAGCACAGTAACATTTATTAAGCCCCATTCTGAGCCAGTCACTGTTCAAAGCATTTTATTTTTATTAACTTGTTTATACATGTTGCTATTCCTATACTATTATTACCTACACTATTATTTCTCTTCTCTTGTTATGCCCATTCTCCACAGAAGACAACTGAGGCACAGAGAGTTGAAGTGACTTGTCTGAGGCCCGTGAGAGATGAGCTGGCAGGGAACCCCACCCCCGCCCCCACCCCCGCCCCGGGGAGCCTGCCCTTTCAGCTGGAATGTTCGTTAATATGACCGCCACACTTCCTCCCGCACCTAGCCCTCCACGGCCGCTCTGCCACGACCACCACCATGATTCAGGCCCTCTCTGCTTGGTTGCACTGTTTCATTGTCCACCAACCAGTGTCCCCTTCTCCAGCCTCTTGTCTGTTAATTCCCCCTATGCTTTGTCTAACGCATAGCTCTGCTCAGTAATCCTCAGCGGTTTCCCAGGGAAAAAATGACACAAACCTCTTGGCCACTCTCCCTCATTATCTGCGTGGCCCAGCCTGTCAGTTCAGCCCCAGCTCCCTCTATTCACCGATATCTGCTGCCCCAAAGAGGATGACTCTTCACTCCCTACCCCGCCCTTTACAGCCCTGAGCCTTTACTCCTCCCATCACCCCCTAGAGCCCAGCTCCTGGGCCCTTGCCTCCTGACTGCCAAGGACCTGGCAGGGGGACAGGGGTCCTTCTGGAGCCTCCACAGGGCAGTTTAGTCAGCACTGCTGCTCCTAACTGTGTCTGGATCCTAGTTTTTGTTTGTGATACAGGCCCGGCTCTGGCCTTGGCTCCCGAAGTGAATCCAATCCTTGGTCCAATTCTCCCGGGATGGGAGACGGAGGCTAACAGTATAACCCTCGGAGTCTGAAGACCCCGATTTGAATCCCAGCTCGACTGCCTCTTAGCAATGGGACCTGACTTCTCATAGTCGCTGTCTCTAAGCAAGTGGTAATGACACCCCTGTGCAAGGCCCATCGCGAGGCGGTGAGGAGGTGCTACACGGAAAAGTGCCAAGCCCAGCGCTGATGCTACATATTACCATTCAAGACAAGTGACAGATACACAGATGGTCCCCAAGGAAGAGGCGCTCTACATCAGGGCTGTTCTGGTTCTGCTACGTGATACGTAACTTACCCACTGTACAGTCTACAGGGTACTTACTCGGTTCTCTCTGTGTTTCTGCCACGTTTCAGACAACCTACAAATGAAGGAATTTTCCACTCAGTTAAAGGACTGAAAAGCAAAGCTGAAATCTGCAGTTATAGCCTGCCTGATGGGAGACCTAAATCTGGAACACTCTAAACCACACCTGTCAAGTTGGTCTTCCTGCTCTTCCAAATGCATAAGTTAAACTAACTACAAAGGGGGTCCAAAGAGGTGTTCCAAAACTGCTCATCAGATGACAGAAAAAGAAAACCAAACACTGCTAACAACAATGGCTATTTCTACAGCAGCTCATGCATAAGGCTAACGATGTAGGGCAGGCTCGGATGGCGTGGGCCAGCACTGCCCAGGAATATATGAGCCACAGGGGTAATTTAACGATTTTAGCAGTCACCTCACAAAGGAAAAAGAACTGGGTGAAATTCATTTTCAAAATGTTTTAATTTTGAAATTAATTTTAATGTTTAATTTTGACACTTTAATAATTTTCAAAATATTTTATTTAGTAAGCCCAATGTGTCAAAAATACTATCATTTTAACATGCAATCAAAATAAACATTACTGGGCGCCTGGGTGGCTCAGTTGGTTGAGTGACTGCCTTTGGCTCAGGTCATGATCCTGGAGTCCCTGGATCGAGTCCTGCATTGGGTTCCCTGCTCGGCGGGGAGTCTGCTTCTCCCTCTGACCCTCCCCCCTCTCAGGTGCTCTCTCTCTCTCTTTCTCGCTCTCTCAAATAAATAAATAAAATATTAACAAAAAAACAAACATTACTAATGAGATATTTTGCAGCCCTTTTCAAGTACTAAGTCTTATAAATCCAGCGTGTAATTTCTATTTCAGCACATCTGTTTGGACCCCCATGTTTCAAGGGTTCAACGGCCGCAGGTGGCTCATGGCTACCATTTTGGACAGCGCCGTTTTGGACATTAAGATATGGCTTCCACACACGTACCCACCAGTGTCCTCCCATAAAAGGTATCAGCCCTTGTCCGGAGCCAGACTAGCGGTCCCGCAGCCTAGTCCGCAGGCTTGACTGAACTTACCCCGGTGTCTGTCAACTACAACTCACCGCCGCAGCTGCTTACGTTCCCCTGTCCCCCTCAGGAGGCTCCGTGCCAAATGCCTCACCCTTTCCCAAGTTATGGCTTTACGACTGTGAAGCTGGCTGAAGTAATTTTTTTCAAGACAATTTTTTTTTTCAAGTTATACAGAGCTACCGGTACTGCCCATGGGAGTAACTTTCTCTCCACTGAGTGAACTTGTTTTTTTTAAAACCTAAATCAACCGACTGTTTTGGAATTATATGGGCACTCAGTACCACCTTTTTTTTGGTTCAGGTATTCTGGTGACAGACCCACAAGAACTCTGAGTGGAAAATGATTTTGGTTTCTGGGGACCAATCTGTTAGGGAGACGATTAACAATGATGCTGCTATTTGGGGATTAAAAATAATTTTTTACAAGAACATTTGGGCTCCCCCAATATTTTACTCATTGGTAATGAAGCCTCAAAACTTTCTTCAGCTGATTTTTCTATCTTATTTAGAGGAGAGTCAATGGACTTGTAATCTACTACCTAGGGATCTTTGTGGTATTTGCAACCTATAATACGGACGCAGTATCCCTGGGACGCCATATTCTAGTGGCAATGCGCAAACAGTAGTCTAGGACAGCAAAGACGGAACTTTCTGCGATGATGGAATTCTTCTCTATCTGGTCCGTCCCATTACGGTAGCCGCTGGCTCTCTGTGGCTACCGAGCACTCCGTATGTGCATAGTTCAAATGAAGAAAGAAATTTTAAATTAAATTTAATGAATTTGATTTTATATTTAAACCACTCCACGTGGCCAGTGCCTACGGTACTGAGCAGTGTAGGTCTAGGGAACCCGAAATCTAAGTTGGTCCAAGACGTGAATGTGAAATGACATGGGTCCTACACAGCATCACGTGGCTGAAAGCTGACTCTTATGCATTCCCTGTGGCAGTGACAAATCAGTCTTGCAAAGAGCCCTCTGGAGAAAGCGGATACGGAGAGTGTCGGGGCTGCAAGAACATCCGGTCTTCACATTCACAGCCTGGATCCTGGTCTGTGTCCCCTGGGGCTTGAGGAGGGGCTTGTTGTTGCCAGGAAAGAACAGGATGGGGGACAGGTTACCTGTTCTCCAGGGCACATGGGCTGCCTTCCAAGGCTGGCCCACATCTCTAAGAAAGCAAGGATGGCTCAGGAAGGCAGTGCAGGTAATACCAGTCATTATGACCCACTCCAAGTCACCAAACCCCAACAACAGCTGCCTTTTCCCCGGGACGTCCTTTTGGGCTAGAAGACATGGAAAGTACGGCTCTGGCAGCCAAGAGCAAGAGGTCTTTTGCAAAATCTAGCTTGGAGACCAGAGATATAATATCCGCTGAAGCAGACCACAAGTAGAAGGAGGCTGGGGAACAGCCGGCTGTGTTTTCACATCTGTAAAGCCCCCTATGGCCTAAGGATTCCTTTCGCCCTCAAGATCATGCAAAATCTTGGCAAACCTGGCAGACCCAGCAACCTCGGACAACAAGGAACACAAAATGAAACAAAAGGCTTGCTTTTCTTCCAAATGCTTAAAATTTCAAACTTTGCTTTAGTCTCTAAACTATTAATTTTCTAGCCTTTGAAAACCCAATTCGAGTTTGAAAACTTATTTTTTTGAAACATACCTTTTCTAAACAGCAAAAAAAATGCCACTCCTGCTACGAGGACTACTGCTGGTATAATCACAAAATTGTGCCTTGACTGACCTGTAAAGAAAAAAAAAAAAAAAAGGAAGCCGGTGAGAAAGAAAGAAATAGCCAGACTGATCAAAACAGAGATCCAGGTGACTCTCCTTATTTGCAGATTCCATATCTGCAATCTACCTATTTGCTAAAATGTATGTGTCCTCCCCACATCAATGCTCACAGCACGTTCATGGTCCCTGGAGGACATGTGCAGCAGGATGGTGAGAAATCTGATTGCTAGGTGCGCACATCCCCAGCTGAGGCCAAACAAGGCAACGCTCTTGTTCTTGAGTCCTCTCCTCTAATGTAAGCAAGTGTCCTGTTCCTGGTCTGAGTACTGCCACACTTTTGTCCCTTTTTGTGGGCTATTTCGTTGTCTAAAATAGCCCCGAACACAGTGCCAAAATGCTGTGTAGCGTTCCTAAGTGCGAGAAGGCTGGGATGTGCCTTTCAGAGAAAATATATGTGTTAGATATGCTTCATCTAGGCGTAAGCCATGGCGCTGTTGGCCGGGAGTCCAATGTTCATGAATCAACAATACATATATAATAAGGAGTCTTTAAATAGAAACACACACAAAGCAAGGTTATTTATTGATTTCTTGCCAAAATGTGACCAGAAGCTTGCAGGAGCCTACACCCTGCATTTCCCAGAAGCAACATTCAGTATTCACTAATTCTGTATTCACGGTGACTTTATGACACACGACTACCACAAATCAAGAGAACCGACTTTATAAATTTATAAATATTTATAAATA